TAATGTATTATTTTTCTGAGTAGGGTTGCCAGCTATTAAAAAGTTATAAGTTCGTTGGATTACAAAATGAAAGGGCATGGCCGTCTCATGTGCAAAAGCTTTCTTTTTTTGAATAGGGTTGCCACCTATTTGAAAATTACTATCTTCTATACATAGTATAAAGGAAAGTCGAGATATTTTGACAGAGCCAATCTCAACAACTACTGAATGGCTTTAGACGAGAGCTTTTAAGTATAATCTTTACCGATAGGAGTATTATCATTAGTACCTACTTAAATTACTATAGGGTTGCCATCCTTAGGATTACAAGAAATGGGGTGTCGAATAAAAGGGCTCGACGTTTAGATGTTCAATAATGTATTACTTTGTGCGCAGGGTTGAAATTTTTTTTAAATTATAAGATCTTCACCATTTGTTGGACTAAAAACTGAGGTACCCAGTGAAAGGATATGGTCTCTGCATGTACAATGAGTTTTTATTTTTTGTTTGAGTGGGGGGCTGCCACCTATTTAAAAATTATGTATGTATAATACGCGAGGGAATTTTTTGTTAATGACATTAGATTTGCACATTTCAATCAACTTAAAAAAGTGAGGTGTTAAATAAAAGGACTAGGCCGGCAGATTTGCAGTAAGGTTTTATTTTTCGAAGAGGATTCCAAGCTGTGCGAAAAATTAAAAAAATATAGCGTACAAAAGGTGAGGTTTTAAATGAAAGAGATTGGCCTCCATATGTGCAATTATATATAATTTTTTTTAGTAGTAGGGTTTAGTTGTCCATCACACCTTATTTAATATCTACACATTCAGCGCGTGGCCGGCTAGTACCTAATACTATTTCATAAAGTTTGACACACTGTAACACAATGCTGCATTTTCCACAGGGCGGGGCTGAAGTTACACATTGATAAGGTGGATGCAGGTTGATGAGAACTTCTCACTCAGAAGTATTACATACCTTCATTTCACAAATGCACTTTGAACGTATACTACAAAATTTCCCTTCACGTATTTGCATTAGATAGTCACCGTCTTTCAACTATATCATTGCTGGCATTTTCCCATATAATAATATTTTCGTAAAAAGTAGCAAGTAACCGTTAATTGAATATTAAATTTTTAAGTACTAAATGACAGCGTTAATATGTAACTTAGTGATATTCTAATTAGATTTGCAAATATTTTCCCTATACCGTGGGTTTTCCAGTTAATATGTACGCACATATGTACATACATATGTATGCAATTATATATTTCATTTGCGAATACATATTACAATGTTTAGTTTATAGCTATAGAACATTGTGTTTATTTTTTTTTTTTTTTAGAAACTACATTTTGCTGGCTTCGAAGTATTTTTTCGAAAAGTTAATCAGATGGTTTCGCAATTATTCATAAATATGCATTATGTAAATTATTTTTAGTTTGCTATGAAAATAGCCTGTATCGATAACTAATTCTCTTTGCTTACTCTCAATTAAGAGGTCAACACCTCCAACATAAATTGATCAATTGATCTTGAAGCTTCAATACTAAAGCAAGCACACGCATAACTCTTCATACAAGTACAACTACATATGTATTTACTTATCAGTGCGTTGAATTTGTCAATTTGTATTCATTGTAAACTTATGTGTTTATACTTACTCGACACAATTTAGTCGAATTGATGTAAACTTAGTACAGCCATAGTACATAAAAAAAAATTGTCGTCTCAATTTTTTTATTTAGCCCCAATATCCCAACATAATAAATACATTTACAAATGTATACAAACGTATTAATTAATTGTGTGACATTGCCTTTGTGCTGATTTCTATTAGGCATTGAAACGCCAAAAAAAATTTGTGAAATTTAAAAAACGCTACGTTGATACCAACTCGATGACTATTTTTGCAAAAGTTATGGCACAGGTATCTTTTAATATCCAACCTTGTTATTAAATATTTCTTAATTTAATTTCCAGTGGGATATTATTAGGTTTGTTTCCTTAATTGAAATGAAATTAAATTTCATATTTAAAGTTAGTTAGTGAAAATTTAATTTTTTTTTTAAATTAATGTTTAGTTAGATACAAGCTTTGAAGTTTCAGAATCTCTAAAACCTCAATTGGAGTTAATGTTTTTTTACTTGGTTTAGTTTAGTTTGGTCTGTTGTGCAATTCTCAACTGGCTTTCAAAATGTTTTTGGGGGCCTTTTTAACCTATAAATTTTCAGAGCATTGGGTAACTAAATTGAAAAAAGGAAGAAAGTTCATTGTCCAGGGCAAAGACAAGTCAAACGATTTATCTGCCCTTCAAAATAAGCTTCAAATAAATTTATTTATAATAGTTCGTCTTGTAGACGCACCTACTATATATGTACATATGTACATATGTATGTATATGTAGATATATGTAAGCACTTTTGAACTCATAAGCATGTTGGTGTAAATGCATGCACATAATAAAACTCAAGGCAAATCGTAAACTTTACTTGTATCTCCCATAAAGGAACAAGACAACATTTTAAAGTTCACGTGTCCACTGGAATATTCCATGTTTTTACGTACATGTCAGTTCATATACAAATGTATGTATGTATGTATGATCATATGGAGAATTTGCATTGTCGATAGCATTGACAATAATATTGCCTTCAAACTAGTTTTTGTTGGTCGCTGCTCCCCAGCGCCTTTATAGAATCCGTTGGCAAGAATTTTTTACAGCGAAAATACGAATAAGTTTTAAGAAAAAAAGAAAAAGCAATCGAAATATTATACTTTAAAATATAGTTATGTCTTAGACATGTACGTATGTACATAAGGATGCCCACCCCCCCAAAAAGTACTACTTTTTTATATGGAAGAAAATTCGTAACAACTTCGTCGAAAAAAAAACCTCGAAAACTCCTAAGCATTTAAAACTTGTACTTTATTACACCTATGTAAATACAATGGACTACAAAACTGCATAACCACAAAAAAGCTCTGATTCAAAAGTGAGTGAGGAGTTTTTAAATTAAAAAAAAAATGTATGGGAATTCTGAACGAAGTTTTAAACTCTGATTTATGTTGTTTCATTTATAAAAAGAAACGGATAAAATGTATCATAAAAAACATTAGGCCTTATCATGAGTTTCATTTTCCCCGAACCGGTTCACTTTTCACGTTTGGTTTCCATGTATTTTTACAATGGGCGGAATACAAATTTTCAGGTGAAATTTTTTCGGGCGGAAATCAGGATAAGGCAGATTGTGAATTTGTAGAAAAATTTACAGGACGCTTTTCACTGTGAGTCACTGAACATGTGTATGTACACTTGGGTGATCCAAAAATGGATATGAAAAAAATAAATTTCGAATTTTATTGCTCTCACCCACCAGGATTGTTCTATATAAAAAAAAAATACCCCTGTTTTTTTATTTCGAAATAAAATACAAACATTTATAGGTTGCTCAAAGGGCGGCTATATCACTGTTCCATTTCGTTATGTGGCTTCATTTACGATCTGTGAGGGATGCAAGGTTTGGTATACTGATCTATCCAAGCTTGGTGATGTGAATATTGGGGGAGGGGAATTTTTTCTGAGCAACCGGTGCAATTTACAGACACTTAGCCAGTATTAAGAGTCTTGGATCAACCGAGCTTGCAAGATCCTATATCTCTGTTCAACTCAGTAACCTGTAAGCTCCAAGGACTGCCGTTCGTTACCACACAATACACTGAAAGTTAAGGTACCATCTTAATAAGATAGGACTTTCTGAAGAGATGAACTGGAGGATTTCTGGATGGGCATAGGCAGCCCCAAAGTATATATAAGTAGATTCTGGGTGGCCGAAAAAAGCATCACATGCATTGGATACCAAGTCAATGGTTTTCCATTCTAGAAATGTTTGTAATAAATACTCAGAGCAGAGGATAAGATAATAAAGAGGACGTAACGCAGAAACCAGTTACGAGTCCGGATCCCTTATAAAATTGGAAATGAGGTATTTGCGATTGTTAGTTGGAATTAATTAATATTTGTAGAAGAGGAATTCCTCAACGGATTACGCAAGCTCCTTAACCATATAAATTAACCAAGACAATGGACGGCTGGATGGTAGTTTGAGTGCTGTTTTTTCAGCACAAGTTGTTTGGTGTTAGTTTCTACAAAAAAAGATATTTAAAAAAAAACCTTTTAATATTCCCTTACTTCCCATCCTTTCTTCCCGTACGTAAATCCCCTCCAAGGCTTTAAGCACACTTTGTCTCTATGCCTGAGTGCTTGGGTTTTTTGTGGCCTACTCAAATTTCCATCCAATCGAATCCAATTCAGTTCGAGTATGCAAATTCTAAATTAGGTACCTAGCTGCAGATGACACACAGTACATAATGACAAATTCTCGCGTAAGTGCTCCCATCCGCTTTGCACAGTTTGTGCGATCGGCAAATGCGAACAGTCAACTAAGAATCTTAGTTTGTTTATCAAATTAATTTAGCAATGCCGCTGATACGCTGATTCTTCCACAGCTCGCGTAGTACATCGAATTTAAATATGAAAACACTGCCGTCATAAGTATGCACATATGGGTTTATTTATTTACTTACAAGTGTACACATGTCCATATGCATATGTACATACATACATTCATGTAAGAAAAAAATATGTCTCTACGAATGTACGCGTAATTCGTCTCTAATAGTCGATATGTACATTTAATAAATTAATAAAAGGAAGTCGCGCTACGCGTTGCGGCTGTAGTCGCGTTCGTAAGTTGATAGTGCGATAGTGCGCTTGTGCAAATCCCTTTAAGATCGGTTGAGTCATTTACTATATCCGCAACAACGCACCAACTTCTTCAACATACTTTCTTTTCGCGATAGTTGTTTAATCAGGAAAAGTTTTATTCAGTGTTGTCCAGTCCACGGCGCCAGCCTGAAAAAGGTTGCCAGTAGTGGTTTGCACCGATTTTTGCATTTTGCCATTTTTCGCCATCGCTCTTCAGTCACTTTTCGCGTTTTCCAACGACAACACCAAGATGCGGACAAATGGCGCCGTTGTTGTGGCTGCGCTTTTGTTATTCATAGTCACCGAAGTCGGTGGAGTTGCGGGGGTGTCATCGCGCGGCGAACCAATATCAGCCGCGATAGCGGATTCATCGCTGGGGCGAGTAAATTTTCTGGTTGGTGTTGCACAGCTGGGCGCGCAGCAAGAAAACGCCACACGCTGTGGCAGAGAACTTGAATTGCTCTTGAAGGCTGTTGCACGCAAAGAGTTTTGGAGTTTAAAAGGTGTTTAAGTGTTCGTTGAAGTTGCTAATTTGTTGTTTTGGTTTTTCCTTTTTGGCAAGTTTGAGCTTTGAGTGGTGCTTAATTATGTAGTGTCCCATAATTTTTGTTTACGCACATCACCATTCGTTTTTTGTTTGTTTTTTGTTTTATGTGCCTGAAGTGCTCGACTCGTTTGGTGCGCCGCCGAAGTCCTTCAGCTGGGGTAATCTTCATTGGTTTGCTTCACAGCGGCAGTGCATTGACCTGAATTCGCCATATGCGGTCGCCTTCTCGCCGGCGTACTTGCGCACCTATAGGATTAATCCCTTCAACATCACCAGCCCGTTTCCCTTGCGCCTCACGATGCTTTACATGCGTTTCGCCACGCCGCATTACATTGACTTGCGGCTTCCTTATGAGGTGAATCGAATCGTATTCAATTTAAATACATAAATGTGTACATATGTATGTACATATATGAAGTGCCTTAAAATGTGTGTCAAATGTCGATTTGTGTGTTTTTTTTTTTTGTGTTTTGCGTTTAATAGTCTTTCATTCATATCGGCTTGTGTTTACCACAATCCTGTTCGGTCTCAGCGGTGCAACGCTATACGGATGAATACTTTCGGCGCGGCGATTTTGTGATGCAGCGCGACTTCGAACTGCAATTGCAATCGGTGGCGGCCAGAGCGCCGTCTTTCAGTTTGGATTTCTTTAAGCAAACCGGAACTATAATTTCCATGTAAGTGGCTGTGTAAGTGTTTAAATTTATACTAGCATATTTCACATAGCTTAGTATGGGAAAGTTGCTAGTAAACAATGTAGCCAAATGAAAAAATCCAATAGAAAGGTGTAAGAGGAAAAAAGATAATGGAACGAAGAGAAATGCACTTCTAAAAATTTGAAGTGATGTTATAATTTTCTATTTAGTAAAGCAGTTTAAAAGTTTTTAAAATAAAATATCCTTCTCAAGTACTTCGAAAAGTGAAAATAAAGATGTATCGGTTAATCCATGTTAAACCGACCAATGTTCGGAATCGACCATTTTTGATTTCGATGCATTTTGTTTAGAACATTTATTTTATCATACAACGAAGTTCTTCCAAAGGAAAAAAAAATTTTTCGAAGGTTATGCAAAATTAGGATTAAAAAAAAATAAATATTAAAAAATAATTTGAAATAAAAAAAATCGTAAAAGCATTACATTACTTCCAACTGATTATAAAGAAGGTGTTTTTTTGAAGCTATTGTATAAATAAGAGTGTTTAGTTTAAGGATTTTTTAATTTAAAAATTCATTATATTTTTAATTTCCGAATTTTGTTTTAAATGTATTTATTTATATAGCCCCAAAAATCCTTACTTGTATACCTTTAAAAGAGCTCACAACCATTTTTGTAACTATAAAAGGTTTTGAGACATTAAAAAATTGTACATAAAAAATCCAGGAAATTGTGCGATTTTGAATTTTCAAAAAAGGTGTTAACGGGATTTTAATTTGGTTCATTTGGTAAAACTTAGTTTTATTATAAAAGAAAAGTTCAGATAAGAATTCATCCAAATAAATATGGTCGATTCCAACCATTGATCGATTTGACATGAGCCGTATGTACATACATATATTATGTATGTATATTTTATGTGTATTTCACTTTTTTTTTATTTTAGACTCAGTTCCAAATATTAATCCGTAAGATTTAGTGTTGATAAAAATTGCCACACAAAAGCCAAAAAATTTATAAATATTAAACAAAAAATTAAACAAAACAATCCATACCTACAATGTAGGGAAAAATTAAATTCAATATAGCCCGCCAGTGGCTTTTTTTCTGTGGTAACTGTCGCAAATGGGAAACGCCAAGTCAAGCCAAGACCTTATTCCTCGTTCCTCGTTTTTTTTTACATCGCAGAGGAGGCCTTTCTCTTCCTCTGTGACCAGCATCGCGATCCGACTTAAATACTTTCAGAGCTTAAGCGTTTCTGTTCACTCGTACGACATGGCCAGCCGCTAAATTTTAATTCGCCGCTTTACTTATGACCATAAATATCGTTGTAAAGCTCATACAGCTCATCGTTCCTTCGTTTGCGGTATTCTGCATCGCCAACGCGCAAAAGCCGGTAAGCCTTCAGCGGAACCTTTTCTCTCGATAACTCCAGGAGCTGCCTTATCGATGCTTTCATTGTCCATGCTTCTGCGGCACACACCAGCACAGGCATTATGAGTGACTTATAGAGTGTGATTTTTGTACGAGGGAGGACTTGGCATCTCAATTGCCTACTGAGTCCAAAGTAGCACTTGTTGGCATGAGTGATTCTCCGTTCAATTTGAAGGATAACATAATTCTCATTTTCATTGTTGGTGTTTCCGACAGGGTAGGAGTGTTATGTAATGTGGAAAGATTTCCCATCATCCCTTGTCAAATTCGGTTTGGAGACAAACCGGTTTCGGCATTGTGCCATCTTCAGTGTAATTTTTGGCTAAAACTATTATTGGTGTTAATACTTGTTCCTAAATAAACGAAATGTTCTTCTTTTTCAAACGTATGTATAACCGTCGTGCCGAGACGCTTAAGGCCAGCCCACATAAAACTTTGGGGTTGAGTTGGCGTTGTCGTCGCTTCAACAGCTGACTATGAATACATGAATTCAAATCCAGCTACCCACATAGACAAAAAACCTTCGCTGTCAAGCGTTCGTTGCAGCAAGCATACTTTTAACGAGCGTTCTGTCACACCCACGCCAACGCGAAAGTTCTATGTAGATGGGCCTTTATGCTCTGACTGTTTGAAATCTGGATCGCAGATCGCAATACCGTCAATAAATATTGAACGTGTAGCACTTTCAAAACGCGATCCATACATTTCGTCAGTACATATTATACTCTCATAGAGCGAACATCGAAAACGTATTCGCTATGTCTTCGCTATCGGTGCTTAAAACTTTTCAAAACAAATTGAAAAAATTTTAATTAACATTGAAAATTTTAAAATAATTGTAGAATGCATTATCTGTAAATTATTCATACAAAATAAAAATATCTTCTTGCGTCATAATAAGCGTTCAGCACAAAAAAAAGCGATGCAAATATATCTGCTATTCGAAGAATGTCTTACAGATTTTTTTTTCAGAACTTTCATGGATATACTCCTTAAGATTTCGGGAACTTTGGTTTGCAGGGCTCATAAAAAAAATTGTCATTTATTTCGATTCAATTTATTTTCACTTTGTTTGAAATTGTAATGTCGACACCAAGGTACATTGAACAGGTAGTATCAGTAGAGCAGCTGATTTGATTTATTTTCAAATTATTTGGTCTCGAAAATGTCAAATATTTTTAATTTTTTCTCACAAAAATTCTGAATTGTTAAAATCCATTTGCATGTGAAACCTTTTTCCATACAAAACAAGCGATTGAATAGCTGCTTTTGGAACGTTCGCCCAACTCGGCAGCACAACCGCTGATTACTGGGCCTTGCAAAGGATGGATCAATGCTTCGAGAAGCAAACAAATTTACTAGGAAAGAAAGTTGCATCAATTTTTATTTTTTCCAATTTCAATTTTTTATTTTTTATAATTTTTTGTATTTCACATGGCACGCTTTGATTTAGAAAAAAAATTCAGAACAGTTTTTGACACTTTCGATACCAGAAGCAACAACAAAATACACGCAAATGTTGTTTTTGCTCTACTGATACTACCTGTTTAATGTGCCTTGGTCGACACATATAACAGAACAGGCATTCACTCAAATTAAAAAAAAATGTGACGCCAAAATCATTCATTCATTTTGTATATGAAAAATTGATAAGCCGTTTTGATTGAATTCATGCAATCCTCTAGTGCGTATGTGTTGTCACTGCTGTGCATGCTTGGTGTACATATACTTTCTCAATTACATATGAAAAAGCATCCGAGACGTGTGAAACATATATTTCCATAATACATACACTACTTTTGAATACGTTAATATTTAATTCTTGTATTTTTTTTTAATTTAAATACGAACATTTTTAAACGGTAATCAAATAAAAAATATTAATTTTTTCTACGCGTTTTTTTCCAAAGTGACGGGGCGCTCGTAAACTGGAACGGACAACAAACTCTCCCTTCCACCACAAATCCAACACAGAATTCGTGAAAAATTTGAAAACTTAATAAACATTACAGAATTTTGAAATTTAGAAAATCCAAGAAAAATTTTGTTTAATACAATACCGCCATCTGATTTTAAAATATCGTGGAATTGCAAACTCCAAATTAAAATTAAATTTAAATGGAGTACAAGAATTTTTAATTAAAAATTCAACAAATGATTTCTATAATATACAAATACCTTTTTATCAATTTCGGAATATTCGGAAATCAGATGGGGGTATAAGCCAAACATTCTTGTAAGCTTGATTGTACGATTTCGTAACTCCAAAATTCCGTAATATTTTTTATTTTCCAATTTTTTTTTTAAATACAGTATTTTTCGCTTATAAGTGCCCAGGTTATAAGCATTTCCCGCTTGCAAGCACTGGGAAAACTGTAAGAAAATTTTCCTTTTTTAAATATACACAAAAAATTTCGATATAAGCATCCCGCTTATAAGCACCGTAAAATGTGTTATATTCTCCTACAAAATATTCAAATATACCAGATTTATTTCGTACCTTCAGAAGTGCCCTGAAAACATGTCCGATTCGGCCGCATTTTCATACATATTTATATCAGAGACATAATTATTATAAGAGAAAAGAATACAAGTCAATCAATAATCATTATATTAAAATAAATATTTTTAGAGTCGTCCTTAATTATTATTCAAAGACTTATATTATAAAAGTCCTTTCATAATAATTATCAGAGAGATAAATATTTTTAAGTCTTCAAAGACTTTTATTTTAAGACTTTTATTATAAAAGTCGTTTCATAATAATTATGAGCGCGAAAAAAAATTTAAGTCTTAAAAGACGAAACTTGTTCAGGAGAACCAGTTGGGGCTTGGTTGGGGACCCATTCAGGACTATCCACAAAGATTTTTCGCACTCATAATTATTATCAGAAGACTTTTATAATATACATAAGTCCCAAAGTAAAAGTCTTTGAAGACTTAAAAATATTTATTTCAATGATAAGTATTATGACAAGACTTTTTTTATAATACAAGTCTCAAAATAAAAGTCTTTGAAGACCTAAAAATATTTATCTCGCAGATAATAATTATAAAAATACTTCTATTGTATAAGTCTTAAAATAATAGTTATCGATGGCTTAAACAATTTTTCTCACTCATAATTATTATCAAAAGACTTATAATTCTTACGAAAATTTGGATGACTATTTTAAAACTCCACCATGAAATAATTATTATTCTGGGTTTCTGATATATATACATATATGTATAATAGTTTTTTTCTTTCTCACCACAGCACAATTATCACCACACTACTATTGCTGATTTGTTTAGCGGAAATCGTACATCGCTCCAAAGAGAAGCTGGAATTACAACAATTGCTGCATACAAAAGCTCCCAACGTTGCGCCAACAAATGCTAGCGGCTGTATGCATACAACAAATGTATCGCTGGAGCAACGAAACGAAAGAACTTGTACTACAAAAAGCTCAACACTGGAGGAGCTTTTACTTTGTTTCCGGTTGGTGGAGAATTGTCGGCGTGCACTACAGCCAGAGCGGCCGAATTCGAATTCAAACTTTTTGAGCGTTATTGCCGGTGTGCGCACCATCATCTGCCTTTGGGTATCCACATTTCATGTCTACTACTATTCGGTATTCGCTCTATCGAATGCACCAATGATGTTCGCGGTGTTGGCGAATTTTCTCAACCAACCACTTTTGCAGGCTGTCGTTTTTGTGGATGTTTTCTTTATTATGAGGTGAGTTTGTGGGAGAGAAAACGGTGTTTGATGTCCAAAATGGGACCTACTTCATCTTATTAGTTTTCTATACTGATTTTAAATCCAGTTAAAAATTTTTCTGTACGTCTAGCTTTTGAGAACAAAACTACTAAAATTTCCATAAATGCAAAAATGGCAAAATTAAAAAAAAGAAAAAAACTAGTTTTGTTGTAGTTTTTCCGCAGAAAAAATTGCATATTTGTTTTTAATATGAAATATATTTTAATTATAATTTTTGAAATTTCAACACTAGAGGTGCTTTAAAAATGCTGTAAAATGACCTGAATCGAGATCAAAGTCGTAAAATTTTTTTTGGACCATGTTTTAATCAAAATTTTTAATAAGAATGTTTAGAAAAATTTTAGGTTCGCAGTTTTATATCCCAGTATATGGGTATTTCCAAACTGGCGTTACATGACGCTCGTTCGACAAAATGTAAAAAAAAATAAATGGAAATGTCAAAACTTTAAAAAGATTTTTCTTGATTAGAATAGCAATTAAATTGCCCCTTATTCAGTAAACAAATTACAATTGTTGGTAGTAGCGAACATATGCGCTAGCGTGACATTACAAAATACAAAAGCCGATTTTGATTTGGGTTACAAAATTGCAAAACTTTGCGAATAGGGCAAGACTATTTGTATAAAAGTGTTTGTAGTAATTGAGATTGGAAATGTTTAAGTTTAACTTTCCAAGTTTTTAAATGTAGAATACTTTTCTGCTTTATGTTTAATCAGCTGAATGATCTGACGTGACATTATCTGGCGTTACGTTACTAAAATTTTAATTGAAAAAGTTTGGTTAATATTGTTCTTGTAAGAATTTTTAACGGAAAGAAAACATGCATTTTATGTCGAACATACTTTTTTGATATCACCGCAACCAGCGGTTCGGTTTTTGGCAAATCAATGTCTTATGACGTTTCAGCTAAACATGCCAAATGTGAAACAAATCAGAGTGTAAATATGGATTTTCAAAATATCTCGACCCTGGCGCCACCTAACGAGACCCTTTTTGGTAAAAGTATTTCTGCTTACATAACCATTATACTTATGTTATAAAAAACTGCTAAATCGGCATATGAATAAGTTAGATATAGGACTTTTATTTTTTTTACGCGATAGACTTTACGCTGGAATCGCCCATATACATAAGTAGCACACATACATATGCAAGTCTATTTTTTTCAGCGCTCTCCTGTTGGTGTACAATTTCCTGTCAGCTGAGGCAAAACTGAAGACGATTCGTCAAAATAATTTCGTACAGAATACAAAACTATTTGGCAAGCGTGTGTTGCATCGTTATCTGCGGTGAGTATGCAGCAAAAGTTTTCACAACAAAATTATGACTTTTTTTGAATTATCTTTGTTTTCTTAACCTTTACTAGCCTCACGCCAATGCTCATTGTAACGATGCTGCTAAGCGATATGTTCTACGATCTGATCAATACATATTCACCCTTTTATTTGGGCGTTAATAGCGGCTATGATTGCAAGCAGTGAGTATAAACATACATACATACATACATACATACATATATGTATATTCGTATCAATTCAAACACGAATTTCTTGTAACTATTTTTTTTTTTCAAATACATACATACATACATATGTACTCAGTGCTATTATATGATTAAATCAAATCAATTTGTTACAAATTATACTAAAGATCAGCAGTTATATAAACGAATTAATACACATGTATGAACGTCATATACATTTTGAAAGAAAAAAGTAAAAATAACACATAACCCGAATTAATTTAAATCGGATTTGGTTATGCGTGCATATGATTTAATCAAATATGCATTGATTAATGAAATAATTTTCAATTAAAGCCAATACGAATTGCTGGAAAAGTGTTAGCGACCACAGCGTTTAATTTATTCTATAAAAAAAAAATTTATATTCGGGCACCATTAAGTAGGATAGTTGCTTGGAAGTATGTATGTGTTATGTAAATTGATGAATGCCATACAAACATACATATCCGCAGATGTATGTATGTACATACATATGTACAGCCAACGCGTGTCATACGCTGTAACGTTCATGTAATCGAATTCATAAGTTAATTACCTCCATGCAGTTCATACTTACCCTGCAGGAAAAACCCCGAACTAGCGCATCAAATTTGTAGTTTAGTAGTTTGTAGTAGTTTGTAGTTTAGTACTACTTCTTCATCGGAGAAAATGAACCAGTCCAATCGTAAATAGATTCCCACCAAGTATTTTATCTTACTTTTTAAACCTACATATCTCTAGCTAAGAGTGAAAAGTTGCTAAGTCTGTTTATTCTAAAAAATTATATTTTGACGGAAGAAGCAAAAACAATTAAAGCTGCATAATTTTCTAAAAGATAGAACTACCTACATTTATTGGGCCTCAGGCATAAAAAGTGACCTTTAGCTAGAATCGGTTATTGTACTAATGAAGTGAGCTCAAGCTCAAGAATTTGTACTGAAAATCCAGACGGAGCTAAGATCACATTGTATGCATGAGGTCTACTATTTCTAACCGTTTCTATTTAATTATATGCAAATTTGCTTATCTAAAATAATTTGTCAAAGAAAATACAATGCAAAAAAATAATAATAAAAATTTTCATTAGAAGTGTATAAGGTGACGAATTAAGAACGGTTTCGGAAAGGCCGGCACTTTTTTCGGTCGAATACGCTTTCGTTCTACACTTCAAAGATGCATTTCATAGTTGGGAAGCACAGAACAAAAATTTGTATTAACATTTTAGATACGTAATGCAGTGGGGAATAATTTTCAGAATTCAGAACAAGAGATTTTTCCTACAGGGTAAGTACATTCAAAGGTATATCTGTATATGTGGACAGCGGTTGAAAGCCTAACGCAACCCAGTCGGAAATGTAGTAATGCATTACATGTGTGATAAATAATATAATGTGGTTGTTAACCCTTGCCTGGTTGTCAGGTTATCTGATTAAAATTTTTTTTCTTTAGTGTATGTTGTATTTATTATGACTGTTAGATTATATTACTGTTTAAAATGTATGTATGTATGTAATCAGCATTCTAATGTATACAAAAAGTCCCAAAATTGCAAAATTGAATGGCCCACTTTTCTTAGGACATCGCCGTGGGCAAACAAATGCATTTTCGAACATTAAAAGGGTTGTTTTACTGAATATTTTTTCAATTACCATGCAATACATTTTCCTACTGGGAAGCGCAAAGGGTGGCAGACTTTTTTTTATTAACTAAATACGTTTCAATACTATTTTGTTTTTGTTTTTTATTTATTTTTTTGATTGAATACAAAGTTCACAGATAGCTGATAACAAACTTCATTGAATTGAGATTTCTATCGGCTCAATTTACTTATTAAGACATAGATTGAGTTAAACGTTATTGAAATTACTGGTTAAAGGGGCATTGTGAAATAAATGAACATATAATTTCTACCAACTTTATTTTGCTTGCTGTCGAAAGTATCTATGTATGTACCTACACACTTTTTTGAAAAAGCCTCTACTGACCTTTTTTGGTAAACGTTCTTTTTCAGTATTCAGTTAGTTTAACTCTGGAAAGAGTATAGAAAGTATTTGAGTCTTATCTCAGAAAATGTGAGAGTCATTACCATTTTTACAAGACCTTTCCACTGAAAAGGCATTGTAAACATCTTTTAGGCTTTTTGCAATTGCGATTTTTTTTGTCGGATCTACATAAATACTTAACAACAAAGACGCATGCGTCTGGTTTACTTCTTTCCGCAATCAATCTGGGAGCTCTGGAGAAAGATGAGAAGCGGTTTTAGATATTTCCTTTTTTTTGCAGGCAATGGGTGGTTTGGCATAACTTTGGGCCAGAGTGCAGGGGACTTTATTAGCCATTCTCGGCCTTTCCACCAGAATGAGAAGTCCACGCAATTTTGGGGGTTTGGCTCTTCGCGTGCCTATATCTGCTAGATGGCCGGCGCTGCAGCCATATTGCCACTTAGCATTGTTGGCATTTTGAAGAATCTTGCCCGTGCTATTCCCAGGCTAAGAGGATGGAGGAATCTGTCCGCAAAATAAGTTCGTAAGATGGCATATCGAATTGGGATCGGATCTGTTTTCACCAATTTTGAGCAAGAATGATAGAATACATTCCCTGTCTACCTACATCGTGAATTTTGAGAGAAGAACTTCACCGCATGGTTCCAACCTTGGGAGGGAAACGGTTTGTGAGGAAGCACTCTTGCTCCTTGCTGCAAGTAGACGAGATGTTGACTTTCGCCATTTTAAAGCGTTAGGTATACACAAGCGCAGAGGAATCGGAAATTCCATGTACCTGAACTGAGTATCCGGAGTAAATTGCACTCAACGGGTTATCTTAATTTCTTCGTTTTCTGATACACTTTTCTGACAAGCGTTCCATTTGAGAAGTGAGGTTGGCTTGACAGTTTCGGGCTGTGATTATGGGCGAAAGCCATCCTTTCGGATCGAAAAGTTTCGCGACAGATAATAAAATTTCTCGATTGTGAGAGTCAAAGCCAACCACTTATTTGACTATTTCGAGACGTTACGAAACTTTGACTTTGCGCCGCTCTCACACGACTGTGCTCCGGCGGGCTGTGATTCGAAATTCTTCTAACCTTAATGGAAGCGGTTGGTCAATAAAGATGAATCACGCGAGAATCTTCACTGATGGCCCGATTAGATTTTAATGCAAAAGTGATTACATGTTTGTAATTTTTTCATGTCCGAACAATCAGTCTAACTCTTTCTAAGGCATCTTTGATTATATCCTTCATTTTAGTATTTATTTATTTATACCAAATTATCGAAAAAATCTATTCTTCTTTTTATTAGGCGCTGGTGGCACAATCTACTTTATGTACAAAATTTCTTGGACATGCGAGATATTTGCTGCTCGTGGACCTGGTACCTGGCTTGTGAAATGCAGTTCTACATACTCATAACAGCCTTGCTATTTTTGTATGCTAAAAGTGAAAGTTTGGCCAAAATCGTTTTCGTTACATTTACGCTGGGCTTTGCAACGTTCGGGTGGTTATGCAACTACAGCAATGGCATTACGTTCGAGTAAGCATAATAATGTATATTTTCCTTACAACCACACAAATGAGCACTCTCACTTGCACTATTTACAGCCTCGACGTCCTACATTCCACGCTGAATCAGCTGTACGTGAAGCCGTGGGTGCGTATCAATCCATATCTCGGCGGTGCCTTTTGTGGCTGGCTGCTGCATCATCATGGCCAGAGGCGGCGGCAGCGATGTCTACAGTCCCAACAGCAGCCTCCGCAACAACAACAACAACAACAACAACCGCCGCAGCCACAACAATTGCCGCAGCAGCAGCAGCCGCATTATCCCCAACGTCAGCAAAAAAGTGAAATGGCAGCATCTGCAACTGTCGATTCGAAGGCGACCAACGATGATGCGAGTATTGGTAGGTGGCATGCGGCTTTTTGGCTTTTCATCGGCATCGTCTATGCGGTGGCGAATTTCATGAGCTACTGGCGCAGCACACCCACATGGCTGGTGGCGACAATTATGTCCTTTGGCAAATTGCTTTTCGCACTCTGCATCGGCGGCGGCATTTTGATGTGCGCCTGGGGATACGGTGGCCGCTTGAATGCCTTGCTGAGTGCGCATCTCTTTCGGCTGCTAAATAAATTCTGCTTCAGCATATATTTGCTAACGCCCGTAATTACAATGGTCGCCTATGGTTTGCGCAATGAGCCGACCAACTTCAATGAAATTGCCTCCGCAACGGACTTTATTGCGGTGAATGTGTTGGCGGTGCTGTGTTCGTTTTTGGCTTATGTGCTGGTGGAGTTGCCCGTGCAGAGAATGTGCAACAGATTGTTGCACAAGCGGCGGTAAGCAAAAGGGGGCGGTTAACAGAGAGGCGATGAGCACGCACGGATATCAATGATAATTGATTAGGAAAGGGTAACCAACTTCTTTGTTGAATTTATATATATAAAAAACAAGCATTTAGTATTAGACTTTATATGTATGTATTAGGGAAAAAATAATGAATTTCTATGTTATTTGTATGAATTTTTTATAAGATAAGTTTTTATTATCTTTATACTTAGAAAGCGTATTTTATTGGACGATATCAATTTTTATACAACAATAAAAAGCGTCCAATAATTTTACATTAAAGAAATATCTTTACAAACTAATAAAACAAATTATGGGGACTCTACACCATGAGTCGGAATCATCCATTGCTTTTTTGTTTGACTCCGACGCGGTAGTACCAACTAGCCTTGATTTTGTAGTAACATTTTTACCTTTATCGTATATAAACTTAATCGAACCCTAGACGTAGTTTTTCGAAATATATCGACCGCCGCGCCGCATACCGGCAACATATCTGGAGAGTTTTTGAACAATTCGTTTGATAATAAGTTGTAACTTTTTTCTTCTACTAAAACTTCTTCAATCATTTTTCGTTTGGTGCCCAACCCGTAATATTAATTTAATTTTCAGTTTTAACTTTTTAGATTGTTGACGACACTATTGGAAAATGTTTATATATTAAAGATTTTTTAAATACCTTTCGTTTGATACTAAAATGGCGATATATTGTTTATGGTATCAATTTCATTGAATTAGATTTTTCAAACAGGTGGCAATCTTCTATAAAAATATTTTACAAATTAAGCTTTCTGAACCTATTTTATTTTGACACCCATATTGCAAAATTTCGTTTACCTGATTGACTTAATGGAATTAAAATTTTAAAACAGGTGGTAACCCTCTTCAAAAATACATTAGAAATCAAGCTTTTTTAAACCAGTTTATTTTGACAACAATATTGCAGCATTTCATTTAACTTATTCACTAAATTGAATTGAAAGTTTCAATTGGGTGGCAAGCCTCTTAAAAATGTACTTTAGAAAGTCGGCTTTTTTAAACCACTTTGTTTTGACAACAATGTTGTAAGATTTAATTTCCCTTATTCACTAAATTGAATTAAAACTCTCAAACAGGTGGCAATTTTTTTCAAAAATAATACTTACGCCTCTTTAGTATAATACCATTAAATTGTATTTTATTTATTTTATCAATTTATTTCAAGCAAATTTTTGAAATATGTGGCAACCCTCTTAAAAAACATTTTCCAAATTAAGCTTTTTTCAACCTCAATAGCTTGATATCCAAATTGTAATATTTATTTCATTTATGTTATCAATATACATAATCGAAAGTTTTCTAACAGGTGGCAACTCTCCATTTTTTACGTTTTGAATTATTCAGAGTTTATAGCGTACAAATTAAAAAAAAAAAATTATTTAAATCGGTTAAGCCGTTTTTGAGTTTGTGTCCAGCGAAAAAATGAACCTAACTTATATATATATATTTATGTACACATACCCACTATATGTATGTGTATATATACGTACATTAGGGCGGATCAGCGCTTTTGACTATTCGCGTATAGACAGGAGGATTCTACGTTAATTCTACGCAAATTTGACGAAGAATCCATTGGTCTAAAATCAATTTGGAGTTTGCCAAATTGCGGAAATGGGTTTCGAAGAAAATGTGAAACTGTTGGATTCCTTATCCCAAACACCAACATATTTTCTCAATTAGGCATACTCCAAATTGATTTTAGACCCATGGTTTTTTCCTTCTGTGCTATACGCGCATAGTCGAAAAAATTTCACATACAAATTGATCCGCCCTTATCTACATATGTATGTACATATGTATATATGTACATAATTAGACATAGTAAATTTTTTATTTTTGCGATATCCTCTGCATCGATATATTTTTTATCATTGTGATATGCGATGCAGGACATTTTTATCAATCGATTGGATAATCAGTACCTCAATGCCAATTTGACTAGACTATAAGTGGAATAAAAATTTGAATAAAAATTTGAATGATATGCCCTGATTGGTTGAGTCATGTGATCTATAACATATCCTTAAAACTTATAAAACGATTTTCGTTCGCTTATATAAGGTCATAAATTTATGGGCGAAGCCACCTTTCAAAAATTGTACGGACATGAAAGTGTGTACGATTTTACCAGACCAATGAATGCTAGTCCCAATAGCTAAGGACATTTACGAATATTCAAATTCATTATTCATACCACATACCTTTTGCATACGTGGATAAATATTCTACCTGTGAATGCCTTTCGCTTTCTTAGCATAGCAGCAAATCCGCGGACGCTAAACATTCGCTAATTTGTGTGTTAACCTTGAATTAGTGGCTGGTAGTTAAGGTTAAACAGAAAGACCTTTCACATCCGTTTTGTGCATAAATATGCGTGTATGTATGTACGTATGTACATATTTGAATATGCAACGGTGCAGCTACGAATATACATATGTACCTACATATGTATATGTATGAACGCCCCTAACGATAGCCAAAGGCTCATAAAAATTCCTTTGGTGCCTTGCAGCCTTGTTTGAAATCAATACCGAAGAAAAGGTAAAAACACATAAAAATAAATGGCTCAAAATTATAGTATTTATATTAGTGTACCGCCTACCTGATTCTGAATTCTGTGAACTTCTGGAGTTATTTGTTCGACTTTGCATACGTTTTTTATGCTTGAAAAGCTGTCTACTTTGAAATACTTTAATAACTAAAATACGCATAATTGGCACTTTAAGAACATATGTGTGTGTGTGTGCGCGTAAATTGCAGAGCTGGAATAAATTGGGAAACCAATCCTAAGAGGCAAAGGCTATAGATAAAAAATTACGTATGTATGTAAATTGCAAGCGGTAGCGTTTATGTATATTGTACATACCTTCATATGCACACAACAGATATGATTAGTGAAAGAATCTACGAAAATTTAGTTAGAGAATTTCAAAATATCGAACGTCATTTTATGTATGTATGTTAGGGTGTCCATTATATGGCCAATTTAAAAAAAATTTACCGAATACTTAGGGGACGAGTTTGAATAACTTCCTTTTATAAAGTCGAACTCGAATGTAAGGATTCAGCTTAATTAGATAATTTTCAGGTGTGCCACAAAGTTTTATGAGGCTATGATAAATTAGAGACTAATTCATTTTGCTCATTTTGTTATTGGCGGCATTTCTTTATTCATTCTGAACGTTTGGAATAAACTTTTTTGTTTACTTATTCTTTAGAACGTTTCTGATGATATGTTAACGTATATTTCAAACGCATTCTGTTTATTTCGGCTGTGAAATGGGATTATCCGGAATGTATAAAGAAACGCATTCAAACACTTTGACAGTATTTTTGTTTACAAAATCACTTAAATTGTTTATTTTTAAATCCACGCGGTTCCTTTTCATTATTATTTACTGTGTTAATAAAGCCATAGAGGCGGGATATTTTGTTTACGTTGTGTTCATTCAGCCATTAGTTTCCTTACCAAATACGATTCCACGATTCGTAATTCGCTCTCTAAGTAATTCGTGAATTACCCTGTTTCCACGCCACACATTAGTAATTCGTTTGGCAGCTCTAGTTCTTGTTCTTGTTCTTCGCTATTTATTATTGTGTTTGTGTATTGCAAATATCGAAGATGGAACCAAAATTGCAGCTATCATCAACAATTTTAATTTATGTAGAGAATATTTTGTTAATAATATTCTATAACTAGAAAAAGTGCCAGCAAATGGGACCAGGCCGGTGAAAAGTTCGATATATTTCCGATA